ACACTTAGAACTTATGACACTAAGAACTTATGACACTTAGAACTTATGACACTTAGAACTTATGACACTTAGAACTTATGACACTTAGAACTTATGACACTTAGAACTTATGACACTTAGAACTTATGACACTTAGAACTTATGACACTTAGAACTTATGACACTTAGAACTTATGACACTTAGAACTTATGACACTTAGAACTTATGACACTTAGAACTTATGACACTTAGAACTTATGACACTTAGAACTTATGACACTTAGAACTTATGACACTTAGAACTTATGACACTTAGAACTTATGACACTTAGAACTTATGACACTTAGAACTTATGACACTTAGAACTTATGACACTTAGAACTTATGACACTTAGAACTTATGACACTTAGAACTTATGACACTTAGAACTTATGACACTTAGAACTTATGACACTTAGAACTTATGACACTTAGAACTTATGACACTTAGAACTTATGACACTTAGAACTTATGACACTTAGAACTTATGACACTTAGAACTTATGACACTTAGAACTTATGACACTTAGAACTTATGACACTTAGAACTTATGACACTTAGAACTTATGACACTTAGAACTTATGACACTTAGAACTTATGACACTTAGAACTTATGACACTTAAATGCCAAGGAATCCCCAAAACTTTATAGTAACAATACAACTATAACTATGGCAACCATACATGAAGACCAACACATTTTTAATAAAAATTTTAATTCCAATAACATACCTTACTCACTAATTTTTACTACCGATAGGAGTAAACATATTAACTGTGTTTTTGCAAAGTAAAGTGTACACCTCGTACAAAACCAAATAGTAACATTTTTTTCATAATTTTTTGTTTATTTTAGACCAAATGAACATAGCTAATTGTTTACTACCAGTTTTTCACAAAATAAAAATTTTGAAATAATATAAAAATAACTTTTTGTTTTATTATTTATTTTATTTCAAAACGTGACAAAAGTTGATGTTAGAATACAAACATTTGAACATTTATAGGCAATTATAAAATGGGTAATTTGATATGGAAATTTCACAACAATATTGATAAAAAAGAAATAGGCCTCACTAACCATAACTAAATTTACACAAATTGGTTGTCAGGTTAGGGCATTAAATGAAGTTTCCATGGAAGAGCCTTTCACAGCTCGACTTTTTTCAGTTCAGAAACCTAATTGATACAATCTGTGAACTCGCAAAATTTCAATGTTCAGAAAAACTTTTACAACTATAAATTTTATAAAACAAATAAAACTGATGTTAATCTAGAACAGTGCCCAGAGCATGACAACGAGCGGTAACGATGAGAGCAGCTTTTTAGTAATTTGTTTTGAATCCCAGGTAAGTTTACTTGCCTGAACAAACCTGTTATACATCAGTTTATAGTCTAGTTTCTGTTTATTCATATATTTGATTAACTAAAACGAACGATTTGTATATGTGCGAGGAGAAGACTTCAGAGAGACTTTTTTACACATTCTTGCATTAACAATTGTGTGCTCATTATGTACTTCAAAACTAATATATTGTTCTATTAATTACAAAATTTAAAAATGTGTTTTTTTTTACTTTGAAAATTAAAGTTATAAATTGCTTTAGATAAAAAAAAGAAGAATTGAGCTGATCACATTAGTAGGTAGTGTGAGCCAAACAAATGCTTTGTTAACAACACCAAATGGATATTCATATGACTTAAATCACTGAGGATGAACACAAATCAATTCTATATCAAAGTAGAAATGGTAAAATAAGACAATGGCATGACCCGTACCAGTCTATTAATAGCTATCTACATAAATACGTGTAGTGCAGGCATAATGACATACGGGCTGCTGAGAAATCCCATAATGCACCGGTACACTATACTTACTAGGAATGCATTTGTATATAAAATAATGTATATAAAAATAAATAAAACTGTAAAATAATATATGATAATTTAAAAATATTATTGCTGATGACATTGACTTCATTACTGAATTGAATATCGGTTTATACACGGATATGTTATAGTCTGGAAACTCTGGGAGGGGTGTTAATTAAAAAATTCAGCAAATTATTCATTTATTTTTTTGGCTTTCCTGTATCAAATGTTTTTTTTTTCCATTTTCAACCAATCTCGCTTTTTGTCCCTTTTTATACTTAAATATTTTTGACTGGGAAGTACTTTTAAATTAATTTCTATATTAATATAAAACATTGTTATATTATTTGTTTGCATTTTGGCCAATCAGCAAACAACCAACACTGTTATTTTAAATTTGGAACAAGGAAACAACCAACACTGTTATTTTAAATATGAAACAAGGAAACAACCAACACTGTTATTTTAAATACAGGACGTGCAAAAGACCAACACTGTTATTTTAAATACAGGACGTGCAAACAACAATTTTTTCTACAATACCCTATAGCTGCTATAAATAAACAAAACACGTTGCAAAGATTTCTCACTTAATTTAATTAATCCCTAATCCATTTCCTATCCAAATCAGCTTGTAATGAATCTCAACAGAGCTTACTTTTCCCTCCTACCAGCTAGTTTAAACTAAGAATTTTGCTGTTGACATTGACTACATTATTGAACTGAATATCTGTTTATACAAGGATTTATGATTCACTGAAGACACTGGCAGAGATGCTGATTTAAAAATTAAGCAACTTTTTTTCTTAAAATATATTTTTTCCCTGCAAATTTCAATTCTGATCTAATATCTAATGATCAACATTTATTGTTCATTTCTATATTCAGTCAAAGTTTGTCTTTTATAAAAACTAAATATTTAAAATTATAAATACTTAAAAATATTTTAAATTTTTTAAAAGCATCCTCAGTTTGCAAAGTAACAATCACTATCTGATATGGCGCATTATGACGTAGCGCTTGTTTCTTTCTACAACCAGCAATTTTAGCAGAGAGCATATTTGGGGAGTGTTGAGCCCACAGCGCTAGACCATCTGGAAGGGTTATAACCCTTAAAAAGTTGTTTAACCTGATGACCTATACTGAACGAGAGGACAATATATTAGAAGCTCTCTGAATACAATAAGTACCAGGCAAAGACTACAACAACCGTCCTCGCTATTAACACACTGATGTGACATATGTTCCAAAGTCGATGACTATACCAGGAAATCGCTATAAATACGTAATTAGATGAATATGTATGTACCCTGATTCATACTACTTACTTCCTGTATTTTATTGATAACACCTGTACCAAGATGATTACACTGGTTCATGCTAATAATTAACAATCATTAAGTTTACTTGATGTGAATGATCAAGTTTTCAGTAGCTCCTAAATGGGTACGTTAGCGCAAATGTGGACTAAACATAACTGTTAAAGACATACATCACATTTGTGGTATACTAGATCACTGAAATATCACTGATCTTGACAACAGAAAAATCTTCAATTTACATAAAAGTGTGTGCTACTAATAGAACAATTATGTTACAAATATCAAATTGAGTTTTACATTGATTAGATCAAATGGACTTTTACATTGATTAGATCAAATGGACTTTTACATTGATTAGATCAAATAAAGTTTTACATTGATTAGATCAAATAGTTTAACATTGATTAGATGAAAGAGTTTAACATTGATTAGATAAAATAGAGTTTTACATTGATTAGATCAAATAGTTTTACATTGATTAGATCAAATAAGTTTTACATTGATTACATCAAATAGAGTTTTAATTGATTAATCAAATAGTTTTACATTATTAATAAATAGTTTTACATTGATTACATCAAATAGAGTTTTACATTGATTACATCAAATAGAGTTTTACATTGATTAGATCAAATGAAGTTTTACATTGATTACATCAAATAGAGTTTTAATTGATTAGATTGATTGATTGATTGATTAGAGCAGCCACAAGTAAGGTTGAAAGCGCAGATTGCAGCATGACTGCAACAGACAGCATAGCCGGGTAGCAACAGTCGGGTAGCAACTACCAAGGTTTGACGCAGCTTATGACATCACGGTCAAAAGAGCTCTACTGTAGACTATCTTCCTCATAGCAAAGTTGATAATGTTCTGTACAATGAAACATTAGCTATTTTCCATGGTTAATATTACTACAATGTTCTTGCCATATCACAACAAAGGTACTTTATATGGTTGTTGCCATAGCAATGTGATGAATCTCTGCCTTTTATGTTTTTCTGTAAACCCCTTAATTCTACCGGTTACTGGTAGCATAGTGGTTGTCGCATCAGACTCATGATCGGTAGACCCAAGTTCAAATCCTACTTTAGGCTGAACATCAACAGGTTGATGCCTATCCTATGTAAGTGTGCCACAGACTCAATTGGAAGGCCAAAACAAGAATATGAGATCTGTGGCAAAATGCACTACGTGTCAGAACTAGCACTTGTAATTTGCACTTACAAAAAAAAGAGTCAGGAGAGACAACAGTGACATTCAAAGTCCGGAACTGTCGCCTGGCACAAAAACATTTAAAAAACAAAAAAAAACTTAATTCTAGGTATGACAAATCTTAACATATATACGTAAATGTATGCTGTCACTGTGTATGCACGTATTCAGTGTGTTCTGAAGCACAATCTAAAATGTCAGAATTTTATGTTAATAATAAATCAGTCAGCTTTCAAAGTACACAAGTCATGAATTCCACAAATGCTTATTTTACCACATACATAATGCATTATGTTTAAAATAACTTAGAATGGGTATGTTTAGTTGGCTCCAACATTAGCGTTCATTACCAGAAATAGCAAAGAATATAAGACAAAAAGTGCAGACAAATTTGGGTGAGAAAGTCTGCTGGTGAAAAGGTTAGACAAAGGACCGTATGGATACAGCAAAAAAAACTTGTCGTTAAAAAAATTTCCTAATTGTCATTCATTTGATGGAACATAATACTCAAAATCACTTTTGGAATATTTATTTAACAGTTCGCCATGACAACCTCAAATTAGGTATAACAGGATAAGCCCAAACTTCTAATCATTGTGTGTAAAAAAAACTTGGGTCAGCATACGGGTCTATGGTTTGCAATCTCAAGTCACTTAAGGTGACTCAACACAGTTTCATGATTTTTTTTTTCTATTTTGCAAATAGAAATTTGCCCTATGTTAAAATATGGTCAAAAGAATGTGAACACCTGCGCATCCACTTCGAACCCATTACAATCATCAAACTGTATTAAATGATAATTAGTCATTGTTTTGTTGTACAATTGATACCAATACTTACTGTTGTGTTGCTTTGTTCCATAACATAACTGGCAAAAGACAATACACATAATACATGTACTTTGAACTTTGTAACATCAATAGTAACGCCACGACTAGACCAATCGTCATAAATATTATTCTTCGGCCTTTCTGTACAGTCAATGATGAATTTGTAAATTTATTAAACGTTGTTTTTTGCATGATTGTTATTGTTGTATGTTCTCGTAGAAGCAACTGAAGAACATATGCCATCCAGCCAAGGTATCCCATCACTACACTTGTTCTATGTTTAAAAAAAAAGTCATTGTCAATGTTTGTATTATAGATGTGGGAAACTTTCATCACTATGGTAAAACTAATCTGTAATAACTCCACGACAGTCAGCCATTTTGGATTTGATTGTGACAAAATACAATTACAGTATACCATGCTTATACTGTCTGATTTGTTTGAATGGTCCAGACATGTCAAATAAATGGATTATGAACTGCATTCTTTAAACAAAATTGACACCAGTTGTTCATTTTGAACTAAATATCCTAGTGTTCAAATCAAATTTAAACTAAATTCATCCACACAAATGTGAGATCCAGTTTTGGCATTTAAATGGCTGCCATTCGGTCATTTTGAAGCAGATCATGGACCAAACGCATGTGCGCATGTCCATACGTATAATGTCTAATGTAATAATAATAATAATAATAATAATCTTTATTGCATAATCGTATCCTTGTTTGAATATTGACTCAGAAAAAGAAAATTACAATAAAGATGAAAAACTGAAATGTATGTATGAAGTTTGAACAGTCCAAGCATTTGTGAGATATGGCAGGATATGAACGACATGCTCCACTTATGTACGTATGCATGAAAATCAACCCATAAGTCCCTGTTTTCAAACTGCATCCAAACCGGAACTAATTATTTCATAGGATAGACAATTTATTATAGGATTCATATTTAAGAAGAAATGAGAAGATTATTTTTATCATAAAATTAAGTGTTAAAAAAAACCAAGTCATGAAAGAGTCCCCCTTGTTCGATAATAAACTACAATGAGTCAGTCATTTTGAGTCAGAACTGCATGTTAATATACATAACATGATTTAGTTGTAAAGTTTAAATTAGTCAGGGCAGATCAGAGATATGATATGCTGGGGTCAATGACATTTCCTCCCTCATATGCCTTTCCATTCTTGATAATACAGAAAAAATGTATGTGCAAGGTAAAAAAATTTAAAAAGTATCATATGTCTTCATTTCATAACCAGAATATGCTGATGTTATTGTTCTGTTATAGAGCAGTCAATCCATGTAGTTACAATAGTGAGTACAAAACTAGTAATATCCAGTTTAATCTGGTTTGTACAGGTTTCTCTTTACATGAATGAATTTATGAAAGAAAATGTCTAATTTTAAAACGTTTTCTCAACAGATATATTCGAAGATAAGTAAGATGTTTTTCCAGATTGAATTAAAAATGTCAGTAGAGAGAGAAGTTTAAAAACACCAAACATTACATCATTTTGGTCTTCTATCCTGGATCATATATTGTGACAGCCAAAAGAGGGTCTTTACAGCAGAAAACAATATTTTTTGTAATTCGTATAATGCATGCACAGTATGACCAACTGTAAAAACATCTGAAATATCTCAAATATTGACCATCCTGTTCTTTTCAACCACACACAACAAGCTCATTAGAAGAAATGCAAATTTGGTTTGAAAAAAACAACATAATTTATTGAACAAAGAAATGAGGAACAACTCACCCAAGAAAGAATCTGTCGTACGTCTGGTAGTAGTTCAAACCTTCCAAGCTATGATACATCAACTTCTTGGTCAGTAAAATCTAGAAAAAAACCATGAATTATTTGTTGGTTGTTGACAGCATTTTAAAAAAAAATTGTAGAAGCTTCAAATTTAAATTAAAAAAAAAGAATGTTGTTGGTTGTAGAGAGCGCTCTGATCCGAAAGAAATTTTTTATACATGATTGTACTCGAGTCATATTTTTTTATTTTTGCCGGCTAAGTAATTGTCAGCTCGATAAATTTTCTTTTTAGAATTTGCATCCTATAAGTGGAACACATTTTGGCCTCCTACAAGACCCTTGTATTGTTCCAATGTACGCTCATAGGACAAATGGGCACTTCCAGGGGCACTTCAGAAGTCACTTAGTATAAAGAGCGCCCCCAAGTGGCAAATAATTCAATTAACCAACCTCAATTAAAGACTTGTATTAAGATCTCAGGCCTAATCAAATTAATTGAGTGACTTCCAAAACATATACGAGTGAGATACACACCTCAAAATCATTCACTGACTTATATTAATAAATCAGAGAAACATCCTGTTTCAGTGACCGATCAAAATGACTTACAGGTGCACTGATGGCCAAGGTTATATTTCTCGTTATTTAATTTCAAGAAGAGATAATATGCCCAAAAATGAAAAACCACTGACAGTGAGACGACGATGTGCATTTCAAAAATTTTTCATTTTTTCATTTCAACAATTTTGGCAAAAAACATAAATCAAAGTGTGTCGCACTTGTTTCAAACTGACTACGAGCATGAAAACGAATTTATTTGATTTTGGGGTCCACAAATATATTCTCATCTTGAAACAAAACATATTTGGGCGAAAATGAGCTTAAAACCTACCCATATTGGTCTCCCACAGACAACCTGCATTTTGTGTTCTAGACCGAATAATACTGACACATTTCGCAGATATAACTGAGCATCTTGGATTGCAAAACAAAATCAGAATTGCATACAGTATGTAACATGCAAATTTTCATTCAAAATGCTCAATGTTACACAAAGCAGAAATCTAACAGTCATAAAAACTACCACAACAATTTGGGCACTTGGTGGCACTATACACTGTACATTCAATTTTCATTACCACTTGGTGGCGCTATACATTCAAACTTTAATCTCAACTCACTTGAACGGAAAAACAATATAAAAACAATTTTAAGAAAAAAAATCTAAAAGAAACAAAACAAGCAGCCTGTTGGCTGAGATAGCTCCGCCGTTAGCAATAAACATTTTAATTTTTTAATTATTATTAATCCAAAAATTACATCTTTACAAGATAATGGTAAATAATCAGATATAGCTACCTCATACCAGTGTGTTAAATCACTCCAAAAACAGTTTACTATACTACACTGGAATAGGAAGTGACATAATATGTCGACCTTGTCACAATCATTACATAAATCAGTATCTATTATACCCCATTTCTGTAACCTAATGTTACATTTTATACTGAAAAGCCTGGCGATTAGTTTCACTGGTAATGAAACACATTTCACAATGAAACACATTTCAATTAAAGAACTGAAGATATCATTAGAAAATGAACAATATGTATAGTATCAAAGCATCCGGACTTGCGGTTTTTAACAAGAAGTCGAAAATATCACTTTTTTCATTACAAAAATATTCACCAAAATTGAACAAATCTAAGGTACATATACACCGAGTATCAAAGCATACAGACTTGTAGTTTCGAAGAAGTCAAAAAAGTAAAAAGTTGACACGAATGACAGACGATCACTCATATCATAAGCTCAAAGACAAAGTCGACAGCGGAGCTAAAAATTGGTCAAAATTTCAGAAGCCAATAATTATGAAAATCTGCAAAATAATTATGTAACAACATTTTCAGAAGGGGTGGAATATTGCAGTAATTCTTTTGTGTGCATAGCAAATAATTTAGTTTTACCAAAAATGAGAATATTCACTAAAATTAGAGATAGGCAATTATACCTCAATTATTCGTTATAAAATGAATGGAATCTGAACTTCAAGCAAGGTAGATAAAGTCAATGGCATCTGGCTGGAAGTTTCAAAGAGTAGTTGAAAACAGTACCAGAAATATGGATGATGAAACTAATTTGTAATAGGACTAGAACCACACAGTCTT